CACTTCAGACTCATGGTGTCTGTGTGTGTGTGTGAGACAAAGTGTTGGAGTGTGTTTGGTTTTGGACGGGTCAGGTGTGCGTTTATATATCACCGCGATGTGTGTGTGTGTGTGTGTGTGTGTGTGTGTGTGTGTGTGTGTGTGTGAGTGTGTGTCTGTACGTGTGAGGGCTGATGCTGGACTGAATGACTGCTGCTGTTCTGCTGGACCTTGAAAATAGAAAATAATGTTCTGATCCGAAGGCTGTCGCTGGTCAGATAAGAGGGTGATTTATTACACAGCTGGTGATCAAGGAGAGTCAATACTGACGTTTTATCATTAAAAACCTATAAAAACAAAAACAGCGGAAAAACTCACAGTCATAACTGACCACAGCGTCATGTGATTAACGGCTTTAATCTCGATTTCTTAAGTTTTCGTCTTTCTACGCAGAATTTTCATAATTTTTCCTGAATCTATCTGTCTATCTATCTATCTATCTATCTATCTATCTATCTATCTATCTGTTTGTCTGTATGTCTGACTATCTGTCTGTCTGTCTGTCTTATATCCATTAATATCTGTGTATCATGGACTTTGTATTTTATTTGAGAGGAAGTAACTAAAATGTATTATACAGCCCCACATTATTAACACACTGTCATTATAAAGCTGTGTTACTGTTACTGAGCTTTTTGGTATTCAGTGTTGAAACAGCCTTAAATCAGCTGAAGAATGCAGACTGACCTTTTTAGGACTTTTTAGGAAGATTAGGACTCAGGACTCGCCTGACTTCGGACATGAGTGTCAAGACTGCTCTTGATCTGCCCATCCGAACTAGAAAGCTTTCAGAGAAAATCACTGCTGATGATCAGAGAACAGTAAGAACCCTAAAACAGAGCCTTGCAGGACACCGCATTGCACTCATCTGTTCTCTCATCTCATCTATGTTATTCATGACATACAGACTCTGGAAACGTATCTGTTCTAGTGCTGCTTCATCTCTGCACTGCTTTTGATACCACTGACCAGAAAGTTCTCATGTTCAATTCCAGGGTTCAGTTCTTGGACCACATGCTGCCTCTTGGCCAAATACTACAGGACAATGAGAGATCCTACCACAGCTATGGAGATGATAGATCTACTTGGCTCTCTCCCCAAACAAAGGTGCTGTTACTGCTCTATAAATGTCTTATTGGTCAGGAGCAGCGTATTTATCTGATCTGCTGCAGCGATATGAGCCGAGCAGAACTCTCAGATCATTAGGAACTGGTCAGTCAGTCCTGCTGAAGGTGAAGACTAAACATGGAGAAGCAGCATTTAGATACTATGCTGCTCTTAAATGGACCCAGTGGACAGAGAGCATTAGAAGAGCCCCAACACTGGACAGAGCAGAGCAGAGCAGCTTTCAGCTCAGTTTAAACACTGTTAGCTCTACTGCTCTTCTCTCCTCTAACACCGCTCTATTATCATCATTTCAGCTTCAATTTTAATTTGATTTTTAATTGTCCTAATTTAATTGTAATTTGATTTTTAATGTAATGATTTTTCTCTTTTAGGTTTTGTTGTTTAAATCATACTTTAATATTCTCCATCATATTCCATTACATTTTTCTTTTCTCCTTTACTTTGTAAACAACTCTGTATTTTCTGACTCTGTGTTTTCTCATTTGTAAAACACTGTGAATGACTGCAGTGAATGGAAGGTGCTGTATAAATGAACCTGCCCTAGTGTGTGAGTATATATTGTGTGTGTGTGTGTGTCTTTGCATAGTGTGTATGTATGTGTGTGTATAGTGTGTTGGTATGATGTGTGTGTGTAGTGCATGTGCATAGTGTGTTTGTTTAGTGTATGTGTAGTGAGTATGGTGTGTGTGTAGAGTGTGTGTGCATGATGTGTATATGGTGTGTGTGTAGAGTGTGTGTGTATGATGTGTATAGTGAGTGCATGTATTGTGTGTTGGTATAGTGTGTAATGTGTGTATGGTGTGTGCATATAATGTGTGTGTATGTTGTGTGCATAGTGTATGTATATAATGTGTGTGTATAGTGTGTGTATATTGTGTGCATGTATTGTTTGGGTGTGTTTAGTGTGTTGGTATAGTGTGTGTGTACAGTGTGTGTATAGTGTGTGTATAGTGTGTGTATATTGTGTGCATGTATTGTTTGTGTGTGTACAGTGTGTGTATTGTGTGTTTATTGTGTGTGTATAGTGTGTGCATGTATTGTTTGTGTGTGTACAGTGTGTGTATTGTGTGTGTATAGTGTGTGTATAGTGTTTGCATGTATTGTTTGTGTGTGTAGTGTGTGTATATAGTGTGTGTATAGTGTGTGCATGTATTGTTTGTGTGTGTACAGTGTGTGTATTGTGTGTGTATAGTGTGTGCATGTATTGTTTGTGTGTGTTTAGTGTGTGTACAGTGTGTGTATTGTGTGTGTGTATTGTGTGTGTACAGTGTGTGTATTGTGTGTGTGTGTATTGTGTGTGTATAGTGTGTGTATAGTGTGTGCATGTATTGTTTGTGTGTGTTTAGTGTGTTGGTATAGTGTGTGTGGTGTGTGTATGGTGTGTGAGTGCTCAGGGAAACCTGTGCACATCCTGTCACAGTTGCATGGTGTGATGGTGGTCTGTGTGACCTTTGGGGGGGGAGGGGGTGGGGCAGTGCCCTTTAATGTCCCAGCAGGTGAGGTCAATGTGTGTTGGCAGCTGAACTCTTTAACATCTTCCTGTTTTGTGTCTCAGAGCTTCTCCGTGGTGAGCTGGATCACTCCGGACTTCAGGCTACGTGGAACCCTTTTAAGTATCCGGAGACTCCAGCCAAGGTCTCAGCAGCGCAGGTCCTTGATCTGCAGGACGCTGATGACTGTGTTTGTGGCTCACATCCCAGAAGACCTGCAACCATCCTGACCACAGCGGTGAAGGCCTTCAGCACACTGGGGCCATCAATCAACGCCACCAGGACTGAGGTATTCCGCCAGTGGAGGTCCAGTCTAGTCAACTACTCACCATAGAACATCAACTACTCACCATAGAACATCAGCTACTCACCATAGAACATCAGCTACTCATCATAGAACATCAGCTACTCACCATAGAACATCAGCTACTCATCATAGAACATCAGCTACTCACCATAGAACATCAGCTACTCACCATAGAACGTCAGCTACTCACCATAGAACATCAGCTACTCATCATAGAACATCGGCTACTCACCATAGAACTTCAGCTACCCCAGCTCACCATAGATGTGTGTGTGTTTGGTGTGTTTCGTGTCTGTGTAGTGTATGTGGTGTGTGTGTGTGTGTGTGTGTTTACTGTGTGTGTAGCATGTGTGGTTTGTGTGTGTATAGTGTGTATATAGCATGTGTGTGTGTGTGTGCGTGTGCGTGTGTTTTGTGTGTGTGTGTGTGTTGTAAACTGTGTTTGTGGCTCATTATCTACTCACCATAGAACCTCAACTACTCACCATAGAACATCAGCTACTCACCGTAGAACATCAGCTACTCACCATAGAACATCACTTACTCACCATAGAACATCAACTGCACACCATAGAACATCATTTACTCACCATAGAACTTCAGCTACTCACCATAGAACATCATCTACTCATCATAGAACATTATCTACTCACCATAGAACATCAACCACTCACCATAGAACATTATCTACTCACCATAGAACCTCAACTACTCACCATAGAACATCAGCTACTCACCGTAGAACATCAGCTACCTGAGCTCACCATAGATGTGTAGTGTATGTGGTGTGTGTATAGTGTGTATATAGCATGTGTGTGTGTGTGTGTGTGTGTGTGTGAGTGTAAGTGTGTGTGTGTGTAGTGTGTGTGTGAGTGTGTGTGTGTGAGTGTAAGTGTGTGTGTGTGTAGTGTGTAGTGTGTGTGTGTGTGTGTGTGAGTGTTAGTGTGTGTGTGTGTGTGTGTGTGAGTGTAAGTGTGTGTGTGTGTAGTGTGTGTGTGAGTGTGTGTGAGTGTAAGTGTGTGTGTGTGTGCGTGTGTGTGTGTGTGTGTGAGTGTAAGTGTGTGTGTGTGTAGTGTGTAGTGTGTGTGTGAGTGTGTGTGTGTGTGTGAGTGTGTGTGTGTGAGTGTGTGTGTGTGTGTAGTGTGTAGTGTGTGTGTGAGTGTGTGTGTGTGTGAGTGTGTGTGTGTGTGTAGTGTGTAGTGTGTGTGTGAGTGTGTGTGTGTGTGAGTGTGTGTGTGTGTGTAGTGTGTAGTGTGTGTGTGAGTGTGTGTGTGTGAGTGTGGGTGTGTGAGTGTGTGTGTGTGTGAGTGTAAGTGTGTGTGTGTGTAGTGTGTAGTGTGTGTGTGAGTGTGTGTCTGTGTGTGTGTGTGTGAGTGTAAGTGTGTGTGTGTGTGTAGTGTGTAGTGTGTGTGTGAGTGTGTGTGTGTGTGAGTGTGTGTGTGTGAGTGTAAGTGTGTGTGTGTGTAGTGTGTAGTGTGTGTGTGAGTGTGTGTGTGTGTGAGTGTAAGTGTGTGTGTGTGTAGTGTGTAGTGTGTGTGAGTGTGTGTGTGTGTGAGTGTGTGTGTGTGTGAGTGTGTGTGTGTGAGTGTAAGTGTGTGTGTGTGTAGTGTGTGTGTGAGTGTGTGTGTGTGAGTGTAAGTGTGTGTGTGTGTAGTGTGTAGTGTGTGTGTGAGTGTGTGTGTGTGTGAGTGTAAGTGTGTGTGTGTGTAGTGTGTAGTGTGTGTGTGAGTGTGTGTGTGTGTGAGTGTGTGTGTGTCTGTGTGTGTGTGTGTGAGTGTAAGTGTGTGTGTGTGTAGTGTGTAGTGTGTGTGTGAGTGTGTGTGTGTGTGAGTGTGTGTGTGTGAGTGTAAGTGTGTGTGTGTGTAGTGTGTAGTGTGTGTGTGAGTGTGTGTGTGTGTGAGTGTGGGTGTGTGTTGAAAACATCCAGTTTAAGTTCAGGTAATCGTCTAATTTATAATTTATAATGAACAGTTTTCATATTAAGTGCTAAAATCTCCACAGCTTTTCTCTTCTGATTTAAATGACAGGATAGATAATATGATCACTTATAACCTGAAAATATTAGTTAAAATAAAATCAGTAATGCTCCCTCTGAAGAACTCAAAGTCTGACAATAAAGTTTTTTATTTAATCTTTTTCATAATTTACTGAATGTTTTACAGCAGTTGATCTCGAGTGACTCCTCACAGCTATAAACAGAAGCATCAGGACAGTTAGCCGCCCTGCTAATCTGCGCTATTTGAAGGCTGACTTAAAGCTGATTGCTTAACTTCCTTTATCCTTTATCTGCACCTTCAGCGCTCCGTTAACGTCTCACAGGCTCCAAATGTTAAACGGGCTGTGAGTGAAAAGAGTGTCCAGATAAAGTCCGTCTGTCTGTCCGTCTCAGTTCTATCTAAATCACACTGAGCTGGACTGATCAAAGCATTCTTTCATTAACTGGTTGTTCATGTATTAATTTCAGGCGTTTCATCCTCAGCTTGGACGTTCAGCGGTGATTTTGTGGGTTTTGGTGAATTTCCTCGGTGGGCTCTTCGTCGGGGGGTTCAAAGCATGTCTCAAATTTTCTCCTTAGACGTTTCCTGAGCTGCAGACTGCGCTGCACTTTGGTGTTTGTGTACTCCTGAGCTTTCAGCTTGGCGTAGTAGTCAGAGAATTTGTTGAAGAGGATTGAGATCGGCATCCCGTTCAGAATAATTCCAAACGAAATGCAGCCGAACGCTACCACTCGCCCGGAATACGAGATGGGCACCACGTCTCCATAACCCACAGTGGAGATGCTCACCTGCGGAAAACAAGGAATTAGAGCCTAGAGCCTGTTGGTTGTGCCCACTTTATGATTAAACATTTCCTAACATTTTAACCCAAATGATTTCAGACAAGTTATTAAAGAGATTATAGTAGATTAAACACAGCTGTTAGAGAATAAACACTAATATGCAAAACTAGTGGGGACAAAAAGAGCCACAAAAATCAATAAATACCCAGCTGAAAATTGAAAACTGTACACAAACAGTAGAGTAAATTAAAAAAAAATAAATAAATAAAATAAATAAATAAATAAATAAATAAACAAGTGGAGCAGGCAGTGAAATGAAAACATAATGATGTGATACTTAAATGAGCCTGAAGGACCGTGTGTGTGTGTGTGTGTGTGTGTGTGTGTGCATGTGTGTGTGTGCATGTGTGTGTGTGTGTGTGGTTTACACTCACTGCAGCCCACCACCAGGTGTCAGGAATGCTGCTGAACGGCGATCCCTCCACGTCCTGCTCAACGGAGTACATCAGAGCGGAGAAGGTGAAGATGCCCATGATGATGAAGAGGAATAAACAGCAGACCTGCTCGAAGCACTGACGCAGCGTGAAGCCGAACGCTCGCATTCCCGTGGAGTGTCTTGCTAATTTAAGAATGCGAAAAATTCTCATCAGTTTGACCACTTTTAGCACTTTGCTGACCTTGCTCACTCTCGCCATCGCCTTGAGGTCGTCCTGAACGTTGAGGTCTTCCTGGTCAGCGAAAGTCTCAAACATCAGCTGTATGAAATAAGGCATGACCGCCACCAAGTCTACGAAGTTCAGGGCGCTTTTCAGGAAATGCTTTACGTCACAAGTGGTCAGCAGACGAAGGAAATATTCAAAAGTGAAGAAGAGTATCGAGACGATCTCTATGTACTCCATGTACGTCCTTCCGTACATTTTATAATTTTTCAGTTCACCCACTGTGTTCAGAGTCATGGCCACAATGGAGATGAGGACGAAGAGGCTGGAAAAAACAGCGAAAGCTTTGGCAGCCACTGAGGAATACGGGTTTTCCATCAGATCCCAGAGGGTCTTCCGAAATCCGCCCAAAAACATGGTCTTGAAGCCCTCTTCGTTGTGAATGGGCTCAATTTCAGCCATGAGTTCCCTGTTGACCTTCAGCTGGTCTCGAATTTCGTCGGCTTTTTCCTCGTAGAGAATTCGGCAGCAGCGAGGCGTGTCCCGCAAGTGTAAACCCCAAAACTTCATCTCCTCTTCAAAGTTGATGGGGCACAGGCTCTCCATGACCCAGAGCACATTGCTGTAGTAAAAGTGGAAGATGTAGTGGAAAAACGTAGGATCTCGATCAAAGAAAAACTCGTTAGTGATGACGCAGTAATCGTCGCAGAGCGTTAGCTGTTTGACGGGATCTGTGCAGAGGGCTAAAGAGCCTATTCTGGATTTGGGATATTTGATAGCCAGATGTTTGGGAAGATTGAAGACTTTTCCGCCTACGTTCAGGTTTATCATACTGGAGTGTCTGTGTGGAACCCTCTGTGCTTCTTTGTCGTTACCTTTCTTCTCTTTATTTTTAATTTTGGAGTCGTCTGCTTTGGGTGCTGGACTGTCCAGGTTGTCCATCGATGTCCAAGGTTTAACCAAGCTGTCCTGTGAGAAAGGAAATGCACTGTCCTTTTCATCTATGCTCTGTGAGAAGCTGTCGTTGAGTTTCAGACTGGCGAAAAGGCTCGAGCGCCTCTTTTTCAGCTTTTTTAATTGTCTCCTCGGTTGGTTCATTATTGCACTTCCACAGTGAGAAGGTGGAAGTGGCTTAAAATGTCCATCCACTAATTCCCGCTAATCAGAAAAAAGCTCTCCGAGTCTGAAAGTGCTCCTGTAAAATTTGTCCCATGTTCAATTCGAGCGGAAAATTAGATTATAGCCAAAAGAAAAGAAGCAGATTTGAGGCTCCCAGTTAGAGAACATCAGCAGTCGTTCCACAGGAGATAAAGCAAAAGTGACTGCATTTGGTCCAGAGAGCAGATCAGAGGCATGATGGAGGATTTAACCCCCCACCCCCCCACTGTCTAATCTCATTGCTGTTCTTTCTGACCTCAGTTAAAAATACAGCACCGGGATTAGTGCTGTGCTTTAAGGGCTGAGGAAGGAATGCTGGAGGAGAACCTGAAGTTACAGGCTTGGCACAAAGTTCCTCACAGCTTAAAACAGTTTCCACAAAACAACAGCGCCACCTTTAGTCTGAAAATACAAACAAAATGCACCACTTTAAATTTACATGCAAACAAATTATAAAAATGAAAAAAAAACAACTTAAAGATGTGTTTCACTGCATTTATTACTTATTTACATAGACAATTACTAATTAAATAAACAAATACATCATATCCATCTTCACTGAAACACCATCTGGAGAACGGTGGGTTCTGAGCAGGTGGAGGCGATGATAGTGTGGAACGAACAAATGGCGTCAAGAAACGTTCATCAGAACGTTCACAGTGACACTGTTAGCATTTCACGCGTGTTGTAACATTCCCGATGTTGTGATTTTGGAGGTGTGTGAACTCAGGGTCTTGGGGTCGTTACCATAGAGACAGAAGTCTTTCCTTCTGATCAACTGAAAAGCAGAATTAATTTTAATTATGTTTCATTAATTGTGCTGTATTCCACTCTCACAGCATGTCAGCACAGACGGACTCTAGATGTCATGATTGTAAGTGATGTAAATTGATGATTGATGTCATAAATTTTGATCATCGTTCAGTTACTCTTTCTGTGGTTTTCTGCTCTTTAATGGTTTCACACCTGATAAATCTGCACAATCAAATCTTAAATGACATATTTACCCATATAAAAAAAACATATCACAAACAATGTATTTCACATAAACAAGATATCAGATCATAACTGCATTTTCACAGAGTATCAATACCCACAACACTCACTTCTGTCTTGATAAAGGATCATCTGATCAGATTTAAAATGAAGATACTGGAACACAAACTCATTTCTAAAGGTATCAGACAGTGAAGAGCATCAGACAGGATTTTGGCTAGTTGGATTGCAGTGCATTTGAAATATAATTTAATTTTATAAGAATATATGTCTATATATTTTTCCATATGGGTATAAATCTAAAAACAGCAAACATTAACCTAAACACACGAACATGAATCTAAAAAAGTGAATATGAACAGTGAGTATGAATTTAATATTCACTGTATTTAGATTCATATTCACTGTGTTTGGTCTGAGTTCTGGTGTAAACTGCTGAGTTTTAAAGTTTTGTTTGTAAAGACTCTGAAAATACAGCGCAGAACCGCAGTTACTCAGGCTCCGTTCTGATGCAGGTGAAGCTCATAGCTGCTGTATTTTCTTTGTTTCTGTTTTTCTTGCTCTGAAAATATAAATCGAAGTCAGGAACCTTCTGCCAGAACAGCCAATGAGCTCAGTATAAACATGGTTAAGTGTCTATATTGTTACTAATTTTTGCAGTTAAAAAAAGTAGCAGTACCGCCGCAGCCCACTGGGGGGCCGCAGCCCACAGGCTGAAAAAAAATGCTGTACCTGTTTAAATAAGATCTGCTGGTTGAGGATCTAATTGATCTTTCCAGGATGATTTAACTGAGCATTATTTGTTTGTTGATGTTTATTTGTTCCAAAATTCAAACATCCCCCAAGAGCCAATCAGAATGTCACTGTTACTGTGTTTTTATTTGATAATAAACACTGATGTAGTCATTTGACTTTAGGTGGTGATTCTGAAGTTTTAGAGAAAAAAAAGTAACAGAGAATAAACTGCTGTCAGCCTCAATGACAAGTAATTAATAATGTTTTAGGAAATACTATTTACATAATGTTACATTAATATAACATTACAAAACAATATTATGTATTAAAATATGTAATGTATAATGAATGATATATGCAAACAATGAATGTGCAGACATGGAATGCAGCTACACGAAGATTTGCAGTCTGGATATTACATGTTTCACAGAGCTTGTTAAGGTAGAAATGATCTCTTGCAGCTGATTCTTGTTCTCCTCCTGCTCATTTTACTGTGCTTGATTGCAGCTTTCAGAACTGCTGACTGTGTCATTCTTTGCATGCAGGACACAGAGATTTCAGCCACTGTACAAAACAGGGTCATGCATAAGGAATGTATATTTTGGGTGGACATTCAGCACCTTTTAGTGCTATTACTTTAGGTGTACCCCAGGGTCAGTATTGGGCCCTGTTCTGTTTCTTGTTTATATGTTTCCTATGGGTCATTTTTTTTCACAAACATGAGATCTTTACATCTTTTTGCTGACAAAACTGATTTGTAATGCAGATTCACAGCTTTATCTCTGGCTGCCTGCAGGACACACAAGACTGGACGTCTAGAAAGTTCTAAACACTGAACAGCATGAAATGCGAGGTGATTCATGTTGACACGACACAATATTAATGTAAAATCTCATGGGATATCGCGGCCGTTATGCGAAATAAAATCTGAGTAAAGTGGACTGTCCACTACTGAGTCCTGTATTACTCGTATTTCTAAAACCTCTTTCTGCCACGTATGAAATCTCGGCTGATTCTGCTGGTCAGATTACTGTAATTCCAGTTTGGCTGGACAGTGTTCAGAGTGTTCAGAGATTACAGTGTGTTCAGAACCGAGACCTGTAATTTATCACTCAGAGTCTCGCAGCAGCTACTCACTTTAAAATCTTACTGTAGGTTAATAAGTGTTTAGTGTGTAAATGTTTAGTGTTTAAGCTCCAGGATCTCCTTCTTCCTCAGATTCACGCTACAGTTCCAGGTCTGGGTCTAACCTGCTGGAGGTTCCATGCATGTTCTATTTTGTGTTCTGTGGGTTTCTGTGCTTTTTTAGGAAGATTTCTCTTTTATGGACATGTGTTTATTATTTAACTCGTTATTTTTTGTAGTATTTTATTTGTATTTTGTTTAATTTTACTATTTTATTTTTTTTATTCATGTTTTCTAATTAAGTATGTTTAATGTTTGTTGTATAATCTTTATTTTATTTTCTGATGCATCTTGAGATGATGTTACCATGAAAGAGTGCTACATAACTATAATGTATTACTTTTATTATTATTATTATTATTATTATTATTATTATTATTATTGGTAGTAGTAGTAATAGTAGCAGTAGTGTTAGTATTAATGTTACTTTTCAGCTGTTATAAGTAACTAATTAGAATTTCTGTCATTTTTAGCCATCTAATATTTGTGTGTTTTACAGTTTAATTCCAAACCTTTTATGTTGTTACAACCTCGACGTAAGAGGTGTAAAACCAAAGAGTCAACACAGTAAAGTTACAAATCAGAAAAGATTTTTTTAAAGAAAAGGGGAATTTTACACTGAAAGCTGGAGGCTCTGCTGCTGGGGGGTGAGGGGGTTGGGGGTTGAGCTCTCAAACAGGGGGTCCAGTTTTCCAGGTTCCCAGAAGGTTCCAGCAATCAGCAGGCGAGAGTCATGATGACCACTACTGAACAAAATAATAAAAAAAAGACACAAAGCAAAACTCTAGCAATGTAATTGCAATAAGTTGGTTGTACACAAGGGGGCGCTTTGACCCTGTAAAAGTATGTTGCCCTCACTAAAGCAACTCTAGCAAAAAATAATTTTCATTTTACAATCAGTTTAAAGTAAAGTAACTTGCAATTGTTTACAGATAAAATGTATATTTGTGGATGCAAAATAAAAATATGTTGTTTCATTTCATTCTTTTACTTTAAACACAGATTCTTTTTATAATTTTAGACATTCATTTCACAGTTATACATCATAATTTCAGATTTAAAGTGATCAATTTAATAGAATCCAGCAGCGTGTCTGTGAGACGACCACTGATGTTACACAAATGACTTGCCTTTGTTTATTTATTTATGTATTTATTTATTTAATTTGCATCAAACAGAATGTGTCATGCAGTGCTGTGATAAGGTGAGTGATAATATAAACATCTAACTGACGCATCAAACTGTTCCCATGAAGTTGGAAGTGTACAATTGTCCAGAATGTCTTGTTCTGCTGAAGCACACACACACACACACACACACACACACACACACACACACACACACACACACACACATCGCACTCTCAACACATCACACACACATCAAATACAACAAATGACACACATACATCACACATCACACACATTACATACACAACACACACATCCTGCACACCAAATATCACACATTACACATCACACTCATCACATATCACACACATCAAAAATCACATTACACAATACACACAACAGTCACACACATTCGCATCAATCACACACACACACCACACTCTCCACACACACAGATCTTGTGTGTTGGTTGTTCATAATTTATTTCTCAGACTAGGTTAAACAGAGATCAGAGAGATCTGAGTGAGGAGGGCGGTGAGGTAGACGCTAGGCGAGTAATCAGATTTCCTGAAGGTGAGAAAGATCGGCTGGACTGGATGCTGATGGACAGTGATGGATGCAGTGTGTGTAAGCTGTGTAAGCCAATCAGGGAAACACACGTGTGTTTGAGTTTGTCTGCCAGAACTTTGTCTTCAACTTGAAAGACACAGAAGATTTTAATCTACAAACTCAGAGCAGCTCTGAGAGACTCAGTAACGAGTCCAGACCAGAACTCTCACTAACGAGTCCAGACCAGAACTCTCACTAACGAGTCCAGAACAGAACTCTCACTAACGAGTCCAGACCAGAATTCTCACTAACGAGTCCAGAACAGAACTCTCACTAACGAGTCCA